TTTGTAAAATTTAGGTCTAGTCCATACTTTCAAGCATGAATGAATACAGAAACCTTTCCACTATTACTTATACTTAATGACAGCGGTGTGTGATACTTTATAATTTTTACTACTTCCAACACAATTTTGCTTTTTACAAGTTGCAAAACAATGACATAATTATAGAAATGCGTTTTTCATCTCCCATCAGTATATTTTTCCAGTGACGTATCAAGATGAGCCTACTTGTGAGATAAAATGACCAAAATGGAATAACTATCCGCCAACAGTATTAGAAAAGAGTGTACGACGACGGTAAGTCGAGATTGATGTTTGAAAACGTGCCAAGAGAATGAAGACAATTAAGAAGGCAGGAATTTGATAAGAATATTAATTATTTTACCGATTCTTTGAATTAAATAAATGAAAGGGGAAATAAAAAGCAAAAGTAGAAAAAAAAATCTAGTATCCTTACTACACTACTACCATTTATTAATAACTGTTATTATCAAAAGTTATCATTTTCATTATTTGCGGAGGTTAGCAAAATAAATTTTTAAAACACCACAAAAGCAAATTTACAATTCTCTTTAAAAATGTGTTACAATGATATTCCCACGTAAATCGTTATGATCTTCAAATCTGATCTTCTTGTATCTTCAAATGGTAATATTAGCTTGCAAATACAATTTTTGTTTCAGTAATGAGTGCACTGTTTCACCTGATATGATATGAATTGCTAATACTTAAGTAAAAAATAATTTAAAATGTCCTATAAAGCAGGTAACAAATTATGAAACGTCATTGATAAAGAATAATAAATTTGAAATTATATGAAATAAGACATATTGTTCAAATAGAATACCAAGCAAACAAATATTTATTAATATTTTTTTAAAATGATTATTAATCTTATTATTCATCACTTTAATTGATAGAAATACTATTTTAATCAACTATCATCACCACTTGTGTGAGAAACTGAATGTGCACATAATTTTTCGAGATCAGGCTTATTAGGAAAAAAAAGCATCATCTTTGGACAGAAGTACAATTTTTGAAAAAGGTGTACACGATTAAAATTCGATAAACGTGAGACAATTGTATTGCTATTGCTTTTGATTTCAGGAGGTTAAGGGAAAAAGAGCAAAATAGCACGCAAGAAGTAACATCTATTACATTACAGCTGCTGACATTTACTAACTGCGAATGCAACCACAGCTGCAGTAGTGCAATCATCCATATCCTTTCTCTGTTCATTATTTACTGCATTTTTGTTTTTTCTTCCATTGATGCATAGAAAATTCCTTTTAACATTATTTTTCATCAGTATAATTTAGCACTACTAATTACCAATATCATCATCCATAAACTGATTATTCAGTGCATTTTGCAATGGAAACCATACATGCTTTATCTTGCATTTCACTTCAATACCTCAACACTCTCATTTAAACTGCAGTTTTTTACATTCTTGTGCCAACTGTTTATCCAATGATGAAATGTTCCAAATGTCATCTATAGATATCCTTAATTGTCTAAGATGGCTTATCTAATACAATGAATTTAAATGCTTTTTTTAACACTTATTTTTTATTTTAAAAAATGTGTCAAAAGAATTAAGAAACTTATCATTTGTATAATCTCATTTCAGTTAGTCAAAATTATCACCTCACCCTTTTTTTATTCAAATCAAAATGATCCATCAAGAAGTTCATACTAAGGTGGGAGAATGATATCAGATTTATAAAAGATAATTAGCATTGTAAGCTTAGCCTCACTTTTCCAATAGTTAAGCCTGTTTGAAAATTAAATTATAATGCTACTTTCAATCCTCTTACAAACTGCAATGAAACTCTTACTTAAAACGAGATAAGAGTAATAGTAAAGTTCAAAAGCTTCAACTAACAAGACATTCTTCGTTCTTAAAAATTTTGAAGCTTTTTCAAAAAGACAAAAGAGAGACTACCTGTGCATCTTTATTGATCTTTGTATAAAATAAACCTACACGAAGAACAACTTCCTTAAATACAAATGAAAAAGCCTTCTTGAAGTCAAAGAAGGAGGATTGTTGATATGAGACGGCAGATTAAACATGATCAGCTCATCAGCAAGTCGATACAAGTCAGGAATTGTTTTAAGTAAGAAAGGTGAGCTTACTAATAGACTGATTAGAAACAAATAAGACATCATGACAACAAATATAAGGCTAGTAAATCCGAAATCCCATAATAATATTATTATCCTTTCAATAGAAACTACCATACATTTACGCGAAGAAAGGACATAAGCAAAGTATTTGCGTAATAACACTGAACGAAGAGTGGAAAATTGCATCAATCAAAAGTTGGGTGAACAGAGTCTCCTCAGCAACGGGTCATTTGTCAAACTGCATTTGTCACATCAATGATATTAGCTTTTTAGAATTGATCACTGCAATAAGTGAACACACTGTAGTAAGTAAGATGAAGCATAACAGTTTTATCTACTTCATATATGCTGCTGACAAGAGCCAAGCTAGAGGGCGAACTGCATGTTCACGCTACGACCTTGTTTGCTGTACATGAAGCAAATATTGAACAAAAAGATATTTTATTAATTTTGACGTGAAATATATTCGAATGACTGTTGCATGAATGAAATCATTAATAAGAATTTAATAACCGTATCAATGCTTTTGTAATAGCAGGACTTTCAGTAGAGTAGCGTTTGCTGTCGTTAACCTTTAATGAATATTCAATTATAAATCTGATAACAGAACCAGTCAATAATTTGTGTGCTCTTTTTACTCAGAAAAAAATATATTAAGTATAATGAAAACTCTTTTTAAGATTGTTATTAGCTATTACGCGACACTTGAATGACTGAAATTTGATTGTAGTTCAATCAAGAAATTAAACCTCTGAAGCAATAACCAATCATTAATTACTTTACAAGAGTTGGAAGAATAAAAAGGACAAGAACTGGGATGAAGTCAGAATCGTCAGCGCTTTGCAGGATCGAGAGAGATGAATATGAGCTGGAGATTTTTTGTCTATGAAAGCAATTACCTAATTTATTACCATTTAAAATGTACATAATTCAACCTTGAGTTATTCAATAGACTTTACGAAGAAAATCAAATAACAAGAAGGAGTTACTATAGCTAAAGAACTTTTAATAATATGTCGCACAAATAATTTCAGAGATGCATGAAATGAAAAGTCATCAATATAGTCATCCCCAGAAAGACGTCTGATGTCAACACGTAATCAATATTATACCTCAGTAAGATATTTCACATTTTCTTAACAGTTTGTTCTACATTAATACAGCAGACCACACCTTGACTGTATCTATGGGTAAAAGATATTTACCCATCTGCGGAATACCTGATCCGACATTATCTTTGTATATACCAACCAATTTGCTGACAGTAAACGCCAATTTCGTTCATCAACATGCAGTCAATGTGACCTTTTTAAATGCATCTTCATTATGTGAAACAAGTTTGGTATTGCAAAATTTATTGCAGTTGAAATAGGGCAACAATGAATTATTTAGCTGACAGAGTTTCAAACCATACAGTGAGAAAACTCACGCTCACTTGGTAGTATCCTAAATCATCCTTCATACATAAGCACGTGAAACAATGGAAGACCAACCAACCCAGAAAAAAGGGTTGAATACTTGACAATCATTATACATACATACAAATAAAGGTCTACAAATTTCAAACACTGCGGTGAAAGGATATGAGAAAGGAGTGTGGTAGGCAATAGTTGAGAAAATATGTACGGGAAAGGATACACAGAAACAACTCCTGTACAAGCTAAAAATCCATGCAGCAGATTGCGTTGCTTTAGGACGCACAGTAAATTATCAGGTGAATATTACGTGACAAAGCACCAAACGGTTATGCAACAAAGAAAAGGAATAATTCCGAATAAGATTGACCAATAGTGAACGAAGTACTCCTGTTATCATAGTTCAGTTCTTCCGGAAACTGTATTCACAAATCATCCACAAAAATTACTTCACAATATAAAAATTGAAATCCTTACGCTGACAGTAACTGACACAAATTAATGGTCAATAATTTTGTAATAACGCATACTGTTTGGACGAAGGAGCTCATTTCTTCTCGAATACATGTTCTGTGATTGAAAAAACTGTATAAAGAGTCTAATGAGTATGCTTGTAACTGATGCTATGCATCAATTAGATAAATATCCAGTCGATAATACCCATATACCAAAATTTGTTGCGTATTGATTGTGAAGCAACAAGGTACAACTTTGCGACTTACAAAGACAATACACTCCACGGATTATGCTTCCAAGTACGTGAAACCGTGGTGCAACAAAGCTGAAGCCGCAAACTTCCTTGGACAGCAATTTTTTTCCAAATATAACACAATGAATTTCGGAAAACATGCGATACCTGCCTGCCTGTGCCAAGAAATATGTCCATATGCTTTGAATATGAGACTTGTTAATGACTTTTTCACATCAAAACCATCCTTATTGAAATCAGCCAATATGCGCGTATATTAAAAACTACGTAAAAGTGCAATGCAAAAAACTCGTACAAAAAATCATTCAGAGCAAAAATGAAGTCAGATTCAAATATATTCAAATCAAAGAGCTAGTGTAAACAGTTAAGGTACTGATTTCAAAATCCATCAGAAGGCTATGCGAAAATGAGATATTAAAAGAAACATCTTGAAGGGTTATGGAGACGTAATTAACAGATTGTTAAGTTGAATTGCAGACAAAAAAACCTTTAAAGGTGATTTGGAGACGAAAAAGAAAATGCAAATAAAAAGTTACATTAAATAACAAATAAAAATGTCTTATAATGACTTTTGCAAAAAAAACTTGTTGCAAAAAAACGAAATAGGATTTAGAAACTTATTCCGAATAAAAATAAGCTGCAGCAGTTACCATTTTAACCACTTGCGCTGCCTACATAAGTTTAAGTTGCACTTTTTTAACTCGCGCCACAGCTGATTAAGTATGAATGATTGATGCAGACACATTTTATCGATCACGATCTCCCCATATTGCTCTTCTTGCTTGTTTCAAATCTGGAACAATATACGTGAATTATATAGAAACAAACAAAAAAATTTTGCGAGATACAAAACTCTTGCAATTATAAACTAAATTTCAACGTTCTTCATCATTGAATAAACTTTTCCGTCTTTTAAGTATGAATGATTGATGTAGACACATTAAGTATGAATGATCTTTAATTCTTTAATTCCAACATTGCTCCATATGTACATTTTTAGAAACATGAAAATCTAAATTACTTTTTGCTTCTTGCAACTGTTTTCTTTCATAACTGATCTGTTGCGGCGAAACATTTGACCTTTTACCCAAAGCACCTTCAACGAGACGACGAGCCACAAGAAGCGTAGTTTGGGGACGCTGTACCTTAGGACGAAGGAACTGTTCAAACTTCCGTGCTTTATCTTGCGTTGCCACTGTTGCATCACATAACGAACGCAGACGTAACTTTGCAATATTTGATCGCTGTCGCACAGAAATTAATGCTTGCTGCGCTAAAAACCAAGATAAGTCTTTAATGCGACTACCTTTTACCGTACCACAATCTCTTTCCAACAATTCTTTTAAAATTTACCGGCACTTTTTGAAGCAAATACTACTAAGCAGTGCGTATCATCAACAGTGTAGATAGCAATATCAGCTGCACAATCGTATTTAGCCAATTCTTTTTTTACGTCGTCATCCGTAAATTTAGGGAGAAGGTTGGAAGCTTCCAAAACATGTGGAAGTAAATTATTATCCCATGTTTCGACAACAGGTGCACTATAGTAATCGATCTTTGGCTTTCGAACTTTAACTTTGCACATTGCTGTCTCTATCTAAAAAATTCAAATAATTCGAAAGCTGTAAAGCCAGTTACATTGTTCACACTTCTTGTCACGCACCAGATATTAATTTAAAAATATTGTTTCAAGTTTGCGAAAAACGAAAAAATTAATAAAGTATTGGCTAGAACAATTACTACCAGAACGACTCTACGCTAAGTACAATAGTGAACAGAAACAATTTCAAATCAAATTATAAAGCCAAAAGCCAATTAAAATTTATCCATTTTATTTGATTCATTCACCTCATTAACAAGTTTAGAACTATAATCGTCGTTGTCGAGTTCCTCCCAAGAATCCACTGCATCACTATTTCGTACTACATTTCCAGTCCTTTCCTTTTTATCATCCGTCGACTCTGATTTCTTCTCAGTATCAACCAATGATACTAAAGTAGCTAGATTACTTCTATCTGGACTCGGGATATTACTTTTACTTTCATCACTACCATTCACCAAATTCTGAAAATATTTTCACACGTAGTTTTGTTTCTAACTTTATTTCACATTTATAGACAAAAACATGTCGAATATCAACATATAAAATTATATTGCAAATATGATGCTGAAAAGATTACCGAATCAGAATCCTCAATAGAAGTTTCTGTCAATCCGCTGTGATTGAAAAGACTTTCCACTACATCCACAGCAAGAGCTTCGGTAGCAGCCATATTATCATCTGCAGCAGAAATTGGGGAATCCTGAAAAAAGTAAAAGCAGTGAAATCAAGAAAGATGCACTAAAACGAATGATCAAATAATCAATTCTTGATGGAAAGCTAGTGACATGCAAGCTATGTATCTTATATTTATATACACCTACACTTTTAGCACAGGAATGAAACAGGGAACAGTCAACGCTTCACTTATAAACAAAAGCATTGAAAGAAATTACGACACATGTTAAAATGCTTTAGAAATATATTTTATTGCAAATATAATGCGAAAGCATTAGCAGAGAAAAAAAGAAAATATTCCTACCACACACAGTATCTAAAAAACATGCCACAGCCTAGTTTTTTCTGCTTACAAAGAGGAAAAATGTGATAATTAAAATGACGTTTACCTCGATTTTTTTCGTACGCTGCGACTCCATTAAATCCGACATAGCTTTTACAGCGACCAGTGAATCTCCGAATGCCTCATGCAGGGCTTAAAAATCATGCATATACATTCATTTTAAAGATATCTAATACGTTAGAGTTGAAAGTTGACAATTTTATAGCTGAAGTAGTGATCCGGAAATATTAAATAATAATTACATCGTTTAAAAAGTATTTACAACTACTACTAAGATTACTTCACTCTTTTGTAGTATTGCTCACTGTTTTATTATTTATCTTTTATTAATTACCGCATCGAGAAGTATCGAAAATCATTTCTTCTACATCGAAACAACTGCCATTATAACCAAATTCCCTGATGCTCTCGCAATTTTCTGAAAATCCAATTAGATTAAAGAAATAAACTTACCTCATGACATTGAACTTCATTATCAGTGACACATGATATTCCAAATATTGAATCTATTTAATGCTCATGTTTTTCACAAAATACTCCTTCCACTGCTCATTCTTTCTAATAACTATGTTAATAGAAAACCAACATGAACAAAAAGTATGAAAGGATGATGGGAAAATCAATCACTGAAAGCAAGTGCACAGGAAAATTATAACATACATTATAAGTAATAATATTACACTGATACTCTGAAAGCTAATAAAATTAGATATCTTCAACAGATTCTGTTTCACCTTTAGCAATAGGCGATAGCGGATTACTTGCCGTATCTTGACTACTTGATGAATTAAACATTTCAGATTTCATTTCCGACCTTTCTGTTTTTTCACATTTCCCTTCAAAATGAAGCGATATTATAACATCTAGGGTCAGGGATGAATACATTTAAATCCCAATAATTTAAAGAAATATGAGTTATAAACCTTGAGAAATTGCACAGGGTGAGCCAACTATCAAGGAATTGTTGAAAACAGAATTTTTTGGCATACCAACAAGCAACAAATCTGTAGGAAATGGTAGTCGCTCATTCATATTAATCTCATGAGTACTGGAGCCGAAGAGCAATGATTGATTTGGATGAAGAATCTGGTTCTTCCCAAAACTTTCAACTCCAACACGTTCATCAGTCGTATTAGGCTGTGAATAAAACAGATTCTTCAAACACGGATTAGAATACAATTTAGTTTGCTTTTGTTGTTCCTCAAAGGACTGATTGATCATCGCGACCTGTAAAGTTGTTGCTATTGGCATCTTCTATCTAAAACTATATAATAATAAAGGTTAGTAAAGAGTGTACTTCTAGATCGTCTGCGTCCGGCGGGTTACTTCCACCATCACAAAGATATATATTTGATGATTTCGTCAAACATGAACCAGCGGACGCACGATTAGAACCTGAATTTGGATTCTGACAAGCCATTAATGGACTCGACAAATCGCGATCCAATTTAAAATAAAGTTCCTGCAATATCAACTAATTAAATTATTAAATATATCCCTCAAATTTATTCGATTACAATCTTCAAAAATATATTTTATGATATAGGTTACACACTTTTGATTCAAAATCATCGTACGAAGTTGGAAGATTTTCCAGCACACCAGCAAAATCGGCATCTTCTGCATCGTTATTATTACCGTTTCCTTTATTTATACTTTGTCCTCTTGGATCTGAAATGCTTCGACATAGTAACCTGTGCTAGCTCCAGGTATACATATACAAATTTACAGTTATTATTCAATAAATAATTCGTAAGTATAATTTCACTGACTTGTAGTTAAAAAGCATACAAAACATGCCAGTGAAAATCATTATTCCAATGAAAAAAAGCAATCAATACACACTAAACTTTAGGTTGTATTACCCAAGATATCTTATCTAGACTTTGGGCACAGCGTGCATCTCAGCTGAAAGCATAAACGAACTGACTATATTTACCGCCAATGGTTGTTTCAAAAATGCATTGGGGAGTTTGAATGACGTCGCTAAGACTTAGAGAGCAAATGTCGTCACTGGAAAGCTGCAATTTCGTGGTGACCTCGTTGATGAAGTGAGGATAATTGTGCCCAAAGCTTGTAACATGCAGGTGCATTCCTAGATCACATGAAGGAAGCTCCTGCTCGGTCGGCGCGAAGTGCTCTCCATTTCTGTTGAGTAAAAATAATTGCATCGCTAACAAACTAACAAGTACTCGAAATGAAGAAACAGTGACATTAACGAATTCAAGGACAATTGAAGGAAAGTAGGAAAAGGCAACTACAAAAGATCTTGACCTTAAAATTAGGTACCAGGAAGATTTTACTAACTTATTCCGTGCACTCGTGATAATTCCGTTCTCTTTAACGAAAGAATCATGATCAGTCATGTTCGTTCCTCTTCGAGAAACCCCGCATATAGCCGTTCAAGACGGTTTATGACCTGAAATCTCCTTAATTATGTTGCTCGCTGCTATTCGTCTCAACTCATGATTTATTACCAACCGATGTATCAGTATGAAAACTAACAGAACCTTATTGAGACTAGTAGCAAGATTAGATGAACCTATTCCTAGCGCCCTGTGTTTCCGGAATAATAGGCAGTGCACACATGATTAATTACAACGAAATTTTACGGCCAGATGCAAAGGAAAATCTAAATTATAACTTCAAGCACAATTCACCGACTCAAGAACGGTATGATGCAGTAAATACAGCGAACCTAAGTTAAAATGTTATGGTTAATGAAATTTTCCAACTTCTCTAACCACTTCTATTAATAAAGCCGAGAATTTGCATAATTCTTTCAGGACACATGAAAATGCATGTAAGCACAAACTTAGCACATCGATCATTCTCATTGTATAACCCACCGCGGAATATTTGGGAATACTTGGAACATCGGGGAAATAGAGAAAAGTCCTAGAGGCAGACAGTCATGGTGATGATGAATAGTGCGAAAGAAATAGAAAAGAAAAGAGTCCTAGAAATCATTATGATGAAATTTTCATAATGTCCTTAAAATGATACGATAATGCAAATAAAAGTTTCAATGTATTACAAAATGTAAAGCTTGGAATATTTTAAGTGTAGAAAAATTGAAAGCATTCAAGGATATGAACCATTATAGAGTCGATTATTTAGCATTTAAATGAGAATGTAATTATTTTGAATTTGCTTTTGTTTTGTGTACTATATTTGACTTTGCATTCGTCTGCACATTTTCAAATGAAAGTCAAATTGGTGTAAAGAAATTGCTGATTTCAATAATATTGGATCTGACATTTAGCCATGAAATTATGGAATAAAACATTTTTTGGATGTGCATTCCTCCAGAATTGTGAACTGCTACTAATGGAAATATTTTTGATAAATTTAATCGCACTGTTTTTCATTGTTTTATTAATTACTGATGCCAAAATTTTATTATATAAAAATTGAAAATAACTAGTATAATATTATTATTTTTTCATCATTTATGCATAAACAAAAATATCATTCTGTCTTTTAGTAAATAGAAAAAAATGCTTTCAGTAAATAAAATATCACCATGAAAATATATTCGACATCTGTTTCTGTCTTCTTCTTCAACTGCAATTTATGAGATTCTAATTCGTGGCGAAAATCTTTTGCTGTTGTCAGCATAATACTACGAAAGATATTCAATCATGGTAGTGACTAGAAGTACAACCGATTTTGATTGTAAATAAATATGAAAATATGCACTTTATATTATGCCAAGAAAGAGTCAAGTTAAATTTTTTGTGCGGTATATGTAAACATAATTGTTCAAATTTATGGTTGTTTCGTAAATATTTGTCATTTCATTTAATTTTTTCACATTTAGAACTGTACTAGATACCGTACTAAGAAGATGCTACATGAGGCATAGAAGTTTCTTTAAAGAACCAAGGTAATCAATATGCAAATAAAACAATCTTCAAAATGATTTATGTTTGAATAGTAATAATCGCAAAGATTATCAGAAAGAACTAATTTTTCGAAAGGGTAAATCGAAAATTAAGATGCTTTTAAGACCACATGGTTTTTTTTTTTTCAGTGATTTAGTCCAATTTTTTGAGTTCAATTTTTGACATAGATTCAATGTTGAATGTTGATTCAGTTTAATTTTTAAAATGTTTAACAAGAAACTAAGTCATAAATTTGAATAAATTGATCACTTTCACTTATAAGTAACTGCGAAACAATCAATGAAACTTTATTCTTCTTAATAAAAAGTTCAGTTAATTTATTCGGAACAAACCAAAAAATTTTCGAATAAAACAGTATGTGCTGTTTTTACAAGTGAGTTGATATTATGTACAAAATTCATCACACACAGTCTAAAACATTTGAATACTAATAGTGATAGCGTGAAATGTTTTTATTTTTTATGTATAAAAAAAAATTGATGAAAATACTTTCGCGAAAACATTTAAAAAAAGCTTTCAATTTTTTTGAAGTAAAAAATAATAAAAATATTACATGTGTTTGATATATGATGAAGTATTCGACATTAATTAATACAAATTGTTCTGTTTTATCTGAACTCGTTATATAATAAAATACATGTGTCATTGAGAATCAACAGTGCTTATCAGAACATTAACATTTTTTCGGAATTTCTTAACACTAGCTATTTTTAACAATTGTTTCATACTGAAATGGAAACAGTATAATCAAAGAATTGTACATTGTTTCTAAATTAGTTTTGTCACCAATTAAAAAAAACGCTTACTCCTCTAAGTCTAAAAAAGAATTACTTGTTTCAGTTGGCGTAAAAACGAAACATACAAAGTATGTAAATAAAAAATTTTGATGAGAAGCTCTTTTTTTTTTAAAAAAAAATTTCAAATGATTGCTGATTTAACTAGCATTTTTGAAACAAAAACGAGGTTTATTCATTTACTAATAAGCACCTTATTATAACCATTTAGCACTGCTTATTCCTGCATCCATTTATTTCGAGAAATGTTTCAATTATCAGCTCCGTGTAGTATTAACTTTTATATAAGTATTTTTTGTCACTTATTTACTAAAAGTCAATTATCTAACAAATGTCATGCGTAGAAAGCATTTGATAATCATTTAAATAGTAACTAAAATTATTTTGTAATAAACAGAAATTTTGAAGTCTGATAATGGCAGAGTTATAAGCATATATATTTTCTTACTGATAACAGCATTCAGAGCAATACCAACTACCTAAAAATACCAATGCATAATTTTGTTTTTTTTTCGCAATATAAATAAGTTAAATTTAATTATCAGCACTTAATGATCACAGATATATGAATAGTTGTTAATTTTATGCAAATCAGTATAATTTAAATGAGTGAAATGGTGAGTGGCAAGTATGCTATATGCTATTTTCTTAACGTCACATATTTCTGAATTTGATCAAAAATGTTATATTAAAAGAATAATGAATCAATTTTTCTATGTTAATATTTTATTAACTTATTAATCAGACTTTTTCAAAGTTTTTTAATCGAAAAAAAAAAGTTATTAGATAAGGTTTCAGGATTATGATAATATTTAATTTTATTGCAAGAAGTCTTGATTATGTTTGAACATAGAATTTACTGATTGTTTGGATAAATAGTAACTTTCAATATGATTGATAATAGAATTCGATCATTACGTCAGTACATATTAGGCAAATTGTTGACACTGTTTCAAGTCGCATTAAAAACATTAATGTAATTTATAACCTTTCTAAATATTAGTAGTTAGATAAATTAGAACTGTAATAGATGGAAAAAGTGACATAAAAAAAGTTATCTATTTGCAGTTTTCATAATTAAAAGTAAAATTAGACACAGCAAGCATATTGTAAAGAAAAAAAAATTGAAATTGTATAACTGTGTGCAAATGATGCATTCTAGATAATATTGT